ATCATTAAAGGGAGAAAATGAGAACGAGAGAGCACGAGAATGTCGTCGGGGCTGCCGGGGTTGGTTTGTTTTCAATAGGAACTGAAGGCAGGGCCCTTTTCCTGGGGCCGCTCGCTGTGCCTGTTGATATTGAGTCGAGCAAACACTCTCTCTGGGAGGTCCTGTCGGGCGTCCGGCCAGGGTCGCAAATGAAAGTCACATGTGAGGAATCCTGCGCGGGGATCCTCAGAGCTGAAGCCGGCCCCCGTCTCGCTCCCGGCCCTTGAGCTTAATTAGCTTTTTAATGGAGGTGCCACCAAACGTAGCTTATTTACCGGCGCAGATAGCGGCTTATTTTGATGTGCGTTGCGTCTCAGAGCTCTTTGAGGCTTGGGGTTGTTATTTTCAGAGTAATGCTGTGGATTAAACGCTCATCTTATCTTGTGCTGTTGTGATTGTTGAGCTTTGCTCCGTCCCCCTCCCTTGCCTACCGAAGTATATATGCAAATACGTTTGGACACTACCATTATAGGCTACTTAATATTACTTCATTAAGGTTTCGCCATGCAAGGCAAAAGGAGGTTGCCATGGGTACGGCGGCGCTTAAGTACAGTATATTATAATGTTTAGCTGCCTGTTATATAATCATTGTGCTCTAATGGTCCATTTCAGGTCATATCGATCGGTGATGAAGAACATCAAGATGAAGAGAGGCCAGTCTTATGAGTTTGCCATTAATCTCAGTTTTTCTTAACGTTTTTGAACTCAAAAAGAGAATGGGGTATATTGATAGATCAAACCATGGTAATGGGACTAAGATTCTCTTGCCTTGTGAAATGTCAAGAACATCCTGATCACTACAGATGCCACAGTCTTGAGCTAAAAAAAAATAAGCGAAGCTGATTTTTGACGAGGACAAATAATTAGTGGATTTGAGGTTTTGTTTTTAGATAGCAAGGTGGTAAATGGCAATATATTACCAACATATGCATATATAATTTGCTTAAAATAATATTTTAAAATGTAATTATAAGCAATGAGATAAATGTAGTATTATTAATATAGATTAATTAATATGCAATTAAATGTAATAAGTTGTAATTAAATGTGTGTGTGTGTGTGTGTGTGTGTGTGTATATATATATATATATATATATGTGTATATGTAGTGTGTGTATATAATATAAATAATAAATTAATAATTAATAACCAAAAATAAATAAATAATTACATATAAAAAATAATTATATATGCATTTGTTTATATGCAGATTATTATTTTATTTTTATTATTATTATTATTATTATTGGTAACGCTGTTTGTAGATTTTGACACAAGGGGGAACTAAACCTTCTGTTAGTCAACCAAGCCAATGGTTATTGACTTACACAACGATCTTAAATTAGGTAAACAGCAGCTGATCAGTCTGGGATGTGTAACTCTTAATGAAGGCTGAAGGTGTTTGATTTAAATTGACTGTGATTAGGGACTAAGATACTTTTAAATTTGCAGTGTTTGAGTGTCACATTTTGTTTCAAACTCATACATGTGCAAATAAGTGTACACTGAGGATACAGGCAGACCCTCGGCTTAGAGTTTATTAGTGCTGTTTACAAGCGCGGAGTGCGTTCCATAGGCTCAGTCATCAGCCGAATGGATCGGAGGCGGAGATGAGCTCAAGTGGATAACTCTCCAGCCAGAGAACAGCTTTAATGCTGCCGGCGTTTCTGTGAGGCCTAAAACGCACATCAGACTCTCAGTGAGTGCACACTAGCTCAGCTTAATCTGCTGTTAGCTCAGTCTTTAGTGGTGGTCGACCGGTAGGAGTTTTTCAAGGGCTGATGCCAATATCTAGAGAGCAGGGTGGCTGATATAATACCAGCATACTGGGTTTAATTGAAAATGTGGAATTCAAAATTGAATCTAATTAGGTATAAACAAAGATCTGGCATTTTGAAAAATGGAAAAAAGAATAAGAAATGTTAAAGATTCTGCAATATTTCTAGGTAACGTCTTTTTTTTCCAGTTATCATGTACAGATGGTCAGATTTTCAAGGCTACTTTGGATCATCTAAAATCACGCAGGAGAACGTGATAAAAAAAAAAGTATTATACTAGTGGAGTTTGTGCACATACATTTTTTTCCAACTTCCAAGTTCCATTTTAACAGTTTTTTAAATAGTATAATTTGTAATGAAAAAATAATTCATATTTTTTCTCATTATTTCTGTCCAACTTTATGCATAGTACAATTTATTGGCAGCAAATTAGATTTGTGCACCTTATTTCACGCAGTGTTACTAAAATTCACCCCAAAATTGTAAAAATAGCTTTTTGACAATCCTGTCAGATTTTAAAACTGACACAAGGGGGAGGTAACACCTCTGGAAATCAACCAAGGGACATAATTCAAATATCATCACATTAATCACTAATATTAACCATGCATGAGTTTCAGTTGTGGTTTTGGTGTTCTCACTGGTGTGATTGTGAAATAAAAACAGGATTTAGATGTTCAGTGTTGTGATTTTTGCCACTATGAAGGAGCCTAGTGGTGTTGTGGCTCCAAAAAGGCCTAGTTTCCCCTTCTTGACACCTTCCGGGGGCTCAGGGCAGGGTGTTTTGTGTCTGCTTTAATTGAAAATTAATAGTTAAGGGGGTTGCCATGGAAATTATGCCAGCGCTCAGAGACACCAGCTCTGCCATCACACAAGTCCATCCTCCCTCGCCCGACACTTTCTTCTGCATGCGCTGAAGAGCCGCTGCTGGAATTGTTTGTCCTCATTGACCTTGCGGTCCAAAGCCCTGTGAAATGAGGATGAAAAAAAGAGAGGGAGTTAAGTGAGAGACAGACAGAATAAAACCAGATATGAGTGAGAACTGAGAGTAGCTAACAAGCGCTAAAAACGGCCTGTTTGTCTCGTGAAGTGAAGGTTAGGGCGCGATGTAGCCTATAGCGTTTGGGTCGAAATGTAAATATGACGCATTAGACACAATTCCTGCAGTGACGCTGAAACCTAGAGGCCTTCCATGCCTGCCGGTGCAACCTTTTACACTTCCTCACTGAGCGTTTGCCCTAGTCTGGAGGGGTGGAGGCCCAAAAAAACGGTGTTGGCTTGAGCTCAGCCGTTTCTAATGATATCATACAGTTAAAATATGCATTTAATCTGCTGCTTGGAGCCTGTTATATCATGCTCAGAGCGGGGAGTTCAAGTGGTTTAAGGTGCATGGAGGTTTTTTTTAGCTAAATAAATCTGTCATGCTTGGCTTGGGTGGATCGTGCACAACGTTGAAAGTTCTTGCTCACCATGATGTGTGCATATTTTAAAGACCTTCTACAGTTGTATATGAGGCAATTGATTTTATTAGAGCTTGAATATGGAATTGCTTAGTTGTCCATTTCCAAATAAATCGTGCTTTTAGGTCAGTCTTTTGTATTTAAAATCTGCTCGTTCACATCTCCCCCGTTTACCAAGAGCTTGTTCCTTGCTCACGTTCCAGCGGCGTCTACGCGAACGCTCCCCTCACTTTTCAATCTCCATGTGGCGCTGGGAAGCCTGCAGCAGATGGACTTGGTTTTGCATCTGCCGTGTGCAGGCCTTTGTACTCCTCTCCTGGGGACGAGCGTGGCTCTCGTCTCTGCGAGTGGATTCCTGTCTGCGGGAGCAGCTAGGAGAAACATCTGTGGCATGCGGGGCAAGAGAATGAGAAAAAAGGGTTGACAAACACCATTAGTTTACAATACGACAGATACGAAAGTGACAGATTTTGAAGGTTTAATTACATGCATTAAATGAGCAAATATGCATGTGTAAAAACAAATTTGCAAACCCATCTGGTTTCCAAGCTTTTTTGTCCTCCCTCACTCAAATACTTCCCTCGTAAGGACTTTTTTGGGTTAGCTTGACCTAATAAGGAAAGCAGCAGCAGGCGTATTTATTTATTATTTCCACCATACTATCACTCAACTTGCTAAAGTAGCCCTCCATCCATCTCGAAAGGGAAAAAAAGGAACCACAGGAAAAAGAAGTACCTCCCCTCCACCTCCCCACCCTGACAATCAAACCACTGATTTTTGTGTACGATTAGTCCTCGGGTGCCAAAACAATCAGAGGTCTGCTTGATTTGTTTTAATTACAGGCGTAAAAATGCCACGGGTTTCTCGGATGTGATCGGGCAAGAGGCGCTCGTGTAAATACCGCTGTAAATAGTTCACTGATGATGGCTTTGACAGTGAACGTCAGCTAGTTTTTTCTTTCTTTCATACCCCCCACCTCTCTCCCCCCCCCTATTTTTTTTCTTGCTCTGATGCTGTTGCCTACCAGTGGCATCCTATTCCTCATTTTTGATGCAAGTTAATGCTTCAAGGCTTCTAAGAATATCTTCAAATGCCTCTACCTTCAGGGAGTGGGATTGTGTGTCGTTCCTCAAAAGGTAGGTTACTTTTTCTTCCCGGCTGAGATTGTTGCATGTTTTGGTTTTTATTTAGGAAAACGCAAAGCTCGCTAGTTTGACTTGCAAAAAAGTCGCATGCTGGCTAATCTCACTGAATACAAAAAAGCAGGCAGGAACACGTACCTCGCATTTTTAGGGGCTCGGGATGTCCTCCGCAGCTGGCCGCGTGTGTTAAATCCCCTCTCGGTTAGAGTCCGAATGCAGGAGAAAAAGAGGAGAAGGAGAGAGAGAAAGTGTGTGTGCGTGTGCCGCAAGCCGCGCGCTCAAATGAGAGCAGTGAGAGGCTGCTGGCGGAGTGCGATCCGAGTTCTCGGCTCCGCTCGCAGGCTGTGAGAGAGACACTGGTGCGCACGGTCACACACACACACACACTCAAATAATTCAAGCATTTGCACTAATGAATGAAGAATGAGAAAGAAAGAAAGAAAGAAAGAAAGAGGGACATTTTTGAAGAGCATTTTTAGATTAGGAAGCCCAGAAGCAGTAAAACCTGCAATGATTAGTTGCATTTTCAGATAATTTTCGGAGAGATTTAATGCTAATGATGCCAGTATTTCCAGTGCGTCACAAAAGGCAGAAAAGCTCCAGGTCAGGGCGACACATTTCCATTTAAGGCACTTTTTTCATCACCTCCCCTCGTTCCCGGCCGGTCGCACTGCTTCCCAAAGCCCCGCGTCTCCTATTGGGCCCTGTCTGCACGCTGTCGTAATTGCTCGGTGACAAGTGGAGATGAAGGAATAATTGTCAGGAGATAGGGGTCTTTTTTTTTTTTCTTTTTTTTTTTTTAATGGGTGCACTGCCGATTTAAGTATGCATGAGCGACGCGTGAGGGACGGGGCCAAAGAGGCGCTTGTTTATGATGCGAGTCTGTATAAACACAGTTGGAGTGATGACACTGATAATCGCATGCTCTTCCCCGTGACGCGCGACTCTCCGCGAAACACCCTCTCCAGCCTGCCGTCCCACACCGCTTACCTGCAGGTAATAAAGCCACCTTTTCCTCCATCCATCCATGCTTTCCTGCTTTCATCCATCCATCGGGTCTTTTCACTCGCGCTGTCATTCCTCAAGGCTTGTGCCGTTCCCCGGCTTGGTTTGTGGGCTGCTTTCATCTGTGGGTTAATTGCTGGTGATAATGGCAATGACGATAATGAATGTGGTTTTGTGCGGGTGTGCGTGCGCGTGCCGTTAAGTGTGTGTGAGTGTGTGCCGAAGAGCAGTGTGCTTTGACTTTGCCTAGTAGGTGATTTTATTTGAAGTGAAGTGTTTGTGTAGTTTACAGCGTGTTGGTGGGAAATTAAATCATTTGAGTAAGTTTTATAGTTTTTTGTCTGCTTTATATTAAGAGTTAAATAAATTTTTGAGCAGCTGTTGTCATTTTTGTAGGGTAATAATTGTACAATTCTAATTAGATGCACATGAGTGTTTTTTATGATTTAATATTTTTTTAATTTGAAAGAGTTAAGATTTCATAGTCACCTAAAACTTAAAAAGCCTGTCCCATTTTGGAGGTGGGGTCAGTCAAATGATTAGCCCTCAAGTACTAATTATCCCTATCAAAGGCGGGCAGATAATTTGTTTACTTATTCATAAGGGTGAGCAACGCTCGCTATTGGGCTATTGTGAGCATATTATTACGTTTTTATATGGCTTTGTGCTGGAATGTGGACGTGGTCTTCTTTATAATTTAATACCGTGATGCATAATGAGCTGCATGATTAGTACATACTATATAGAGAATCAGATAGATAATTTACATTGTTCTCCTGAGTCTGTGTAATAGCTTGTTTAGTGTGATAAAATTAAATGCTGCATATTTGGGTTTTTTTTATTATGCAAATCCCCTCTATGAGCTTTTTCCATGCCTCATTGTACACTCTCTCCAAAAATAAATAAAAAGAAAACAACAAACAAACAAAAAAAAGTAATATATGAATTTCAAAAATTGTTTAACCAAAACACGTTTACCTACATTTTGTATGTGGCAATTAACACCGCTCATTAGCCAAGGCGGGTATTTGTTTTGAAAGTTTAACCAATCACTTTGTTATGCTAATTGTGATGTAATTTAATTTGAGTCCCGTAATGATGATGCCGCTATTATCCCCATAAATGATGCAGTTAAGCATCACAGCCTTATTTGCATGTGCTTGAAGGGGGAAGCTGGATGAGACGACGCCAGCATCACTGTCGTTTTCCTCCCTCTGTTCTCCCACGTCCCTCCGGGTCCTCATCGGCCTGTCTGCGCTCATTGATGATCAGCCTTTTTTATCTGATATTTTAATGTGAAATGAGTCAACTGGCTACTCTTGCCGCACAGATGTAAATTAAATAATTGAAATACCAGACTATTAAAAAATGCAAATGGCTTTCTTCAGTCGAGGCATCATCACACAGTGAAGTCATGGAGAAACGATTGATTTGTAATTTTAATTTTTTTTGTGCACGTGCGTGTGTGCATTGTACTAGTTTGCAATCTACCTCCTTGAGTTCACATTTGCACATCAAAGTGCTGCTTTGTTGGCGAGAGGTTAAATTTTAATCCACTGATTTCATGGCCTCTGGTTTGGACATGCAGATGGTGGCTGATTAGTTTGCGTGTGTGCGGCTGGCGTGCGTGTGCTCGAGTTCCTGCAGTCGTGTGGTTGAATTTTTAAGAAAAAAAATCAATTTGAAAGTCCTACAAGAGCCGCTTCCCTCCTTAAATGCACTTCTGCGAACCCTTCAGCCCGGGCTCTCGCTCTGTAACTAAGTCTCCCTTAAAGACTGCCCATTATCTATTTTGTCGAGGTTTTAGACTCGGGGTAATTTTCCTCAGGAAAGATTATTTTTCTCTCGACCAATCTCGCCTGTTACCGCCCTAATTGGTTACATAAATCTTGTCGGGTATGAATGAGAAATGTTGGGGTGTTGTCAACTGTAATCTTCACCCTTATTTACCAATTCATTAAGATCTATCGATGCAGGACCGGGCCGAAAGAATGACAACATAAATCAGCGCGGTGCGACATAATGACCCTAATCAGCCTCAAATAAGTGGAAACGTCACCATGAGCTATGTCTCTCCGCGGCTTCGTGTCTGTGTGGCGGCACCAGGGCCGTCCCGGTCGTTAACGCGGACACGTGTCCCAGGCAGGGCGAGCGCTCGCCCCCTCCACCCCAAGGCTTTTAATCTCGCCCCACACGCAGCCGGTGTCACAAAGGATAATTGCGGCATGAAATGAAATGAAATATGCATTTGAGGCAGGTAAATAGTGTAAGACGATGGATAAATAGTAAGAAAGAGAGCGAGGGAGAGATTTTCTCTTCCTGCCAGAGATGATTGGAGCAGACAATGGGGCCTCCTACTTTTATAGGTCAATTACTGATGATTAGGTGGGCAGAGTTAATTAAAGAAATTACCCAAAATGCAAGCGCAGGGACTGCTTGATGAGATACCAGCGTCACTGTCTAGGCACCCACTTTTGGAGCTGCTTTTGTCCGAGAGGGAGGTGCTTGCTGGAAAGAATTTGGAAAGAACTGGAAACACTCAAGTTTTGTTGTTTTTTTCCGGAAGTGCTGGAAAATCTGAACGAAACTCCGGCTTTGTAGGTCACGTTGTTTAGAATTTATGAATTATGTGTGTTTTTATTTCTCAAGGATTTGGTTTTGTTTCAGGGCTTCTTCAGGATTTATCGCAGTTTTCTTTGTCCCCTTAGTCTGTGCTTTTTTTCTCTCTGTCTTTCTTTTCATGTCCCTCTCCTTTTCTCCTTCTTTTAATGTAAATAGCCTAGAATTAAGTTCTGAACATTCAGCGCTGAATGAATCGAATCACAGATGGTCTATTTATCGTGAATTGAATTTTTTTTTCTTGAATGTGTTCTCATTTTACCACTGATAACAACACTTTATTCGGTTACTTTGCATACTATTAATCCTGAAAAGCGATGTATTCATCCTCCCTTTTCATTTTTGAACTCGTGGTATAAATATGATTTCCCTCATGCTCTTTTTACTCTATAATCTCGTCCATTGTGAATCACTTTGAAATCCCTCTATCTGAGAAGAGGGGGCCTGTAATATTACAGTACATTCAGGTTTAGAGGAGAGTCATTAACGGTGTATGGCGACCCCTAAGAACCAAAAAAGACTGCTGGCATGCATGGTTTAACTTTTAAAGAGCATTTTTAGCTGTTCAGTGGCATTTTTAATTAGCATATTCTCAATTTCACATGTAGTACAGATGCACGGGATGAAATTCAAACTTTGCATCATCATTTTCAAAAATCTGGCATTTTGATCTATTAAGCATTCTCAACTGTTAAATATTGGAGAATAGCAGAGCCGCATTGCTTTATTTTGTATGCATTGTAACTTATGGCAATGATGAATTAATTTCAGTGGAGCACAGAATTTGTGATTATTTTAAATGGTATCCATATCTTAACTGAATCAGAGCGGGTGAAGCTAGCAGACTGTGAAATGTAATTTTTAGTTTTTTCCCCCGTCCTTCCTTGCAATGTTAGGATTCCGGGCACCTGAGCAATGCACTGATAATGACTAGGCTTCTTGGATCACAAAGTCTGCCTTTCCGATGCCTCCCTGAAATAATCATCAAGCTCTTTTTCAGGTCTGTTCTGCGCATCCTATCAGGGGAGAGGGCCGCCGGTTTCCACGGGAAGGGAAAAATGAAGTGCGTCTCGGCGAAAGTGGATGATTTCTGTGAGAGTGTGTGTGAGAATGTGTTAATGTCACAGTCGCAGCCTCCGGTGCCCCTTTTCAGCAACTTGTATAAAACATATCCCGCGGTTTCTGAGTGTGTGTGTGTGTGTGTGTGTGTGTGTGTGTGTGTGTGTGTGTGAGAGAGAATGTGTTAATGTCACAGTCGCAGCCTCTGGTGCCCCTTTTCAGCGACTTGTATTAAACATATCCCGCAGTTTCCAAGCGCTTTAGATGATGGAGAACTTAGAATCACAATATCCAAGCTCCGATAAGAAGGGTGCCGCGTTTGATAATGAGGCAACATTTGTGTTTGTAAAATCAGATCAGCTCAAATGAGCGTGAGTAACTTGACTCCTCCATGATGAGGTGTGTGTGTGTGTGTGAATGAGAAACATCTGGGCTATATTTGTGGCTTTTCCTCCCCACACCTTTCTTTGCAAACCCACCCACCCGAAATCACAGGCGTAGCCCTTGAATGCGTTGTCAGGATCCTGTCTGGGATTTTTCACCTGATGGAAAGGACAGATTTGCACAGCCTACGATTCGAGAGCAAACATTTACACAGCCAGAAAGGAATCTCAAGCGTGGTACTGTTACAGCATTTAAAGCACAAAAAACACACAGTGAGAAAAGAAACTGATCCAAATAACATATTTTATTCCAGAAATGCAGCAATTTGGTTTTTATCTACCTTCTTGAATACACACTGACTTTCTTTTAGATGATGACTGTTATCAAGATGATATGGGTAATAGCGGTTCACAAGCTCAGTGTTTATCGCAGGACTCGGTGTCAAATGGGCCGGAGCTTGTCCACACTAAAAGACTAGCAAGGGCTGTAAATATGTTCCAATAGCACGAACCCTTGACCCCAGTGGGTTTTTAGGAAAAGACAGTGTGTTATAATGACAGGCAGTTGGCCCCAAGGGTCAAAGACAGAGAAACAGGGGTCCTACAATAGATGAACAATGACAGACTTTGGGTGCTGGCTTTCCTCCCTCTCTCTCTCTCTCTCTCTCTCTCTCTCTCTCTCTCTCTCTCCGTCCCTCTCTCT